TGGGAAATCTCCTCTTGAAAATGTGAACTCTAAAGCTCTCTCTTTTCACTGTTATGTCCCAAAGTGTCTTGGCACCTTTTTAAAATAGCAGAAAAATGGTATCTTGCATTTTTTCGTATAGCAAGATCTATAATGACGACCATCTCTAATGACTGAAGGAAGGGCAACAAAACTACAAGTTACTTTTTTCAGTCAAGATAATCTCTCTTGCCTCAAGAAGTCTTGTAACAGGATCACATCTTAGGATTCTGTGCTGTGATACTTCACGAGAAAAACCCATTAGAGGTCCTAGATAACTCTTCTCAAATTACAACTCCCATTCTAATAAACCCTGAAGTATTTTAGTCTGCTTTGATTTACACTGTTTTTTCTCTCCTGCCAAATACCTGATCAATGGATAAAAATGATACTTTCTTGCCAGAAGACAGTTACCAAGGCAGTGAATAACTCCTCCCTGAAGGACAAGAAGCAATACTGAACGTGCCCCAGTTGAAACAAAACATTTAAGACATTCATGGCAAGCCTAAAAAATAAGAGTGCAGAAATATAGATCTCAGTCTCTTGGACTACTGCTGCTGTTTCAGTAACCAAACTCACATTATGACTTGGAAAACTGGACTGCCTCGTGGACATATTGCTGAACAAGAGTCTCCAACAGCCTGACCAGTGGGTTCTTAGATCCCAGAGTTAGACACTAACAACCAGGAAATCTCCAAAAGGATGAGAATTTGTATCACTTCCCATCTAGTCTAAAAAAAAGGCACTAAAGAAAAAATTAGAGTGGGCACTCTGAAAAGACTTGTGGCAGACAACTCAGTAACTGATAGTCCATAACCTCATTTCTGAAAAATAAGCAACAAATAGTTAAGCAGCAACCTGCTCATAACAAAGTTTCCTACTAAGTTCAATTAGGCACTAGATTACAGGTAGAATCTTATTTAACTCAATGTGAATCTAAATATTTAAGAACCACATAATATCTAGCTTTTATGAAATTCAACTAATTCAGCATATTGTTAGCAATAATTTCAGAAGAAAATTTACACAATATTACAAATATTTCTCTTATATTAATACTTCCCTTATGCCAAAGCACCGTACTTTGTTTCAACTAATGATTCTTCAATTGATGTAAAGGTTACTTGCAAGTTATGGATTTATTATTAATGAGAAAGACAATTATTGTATATCTATGATACTGCCACCTTTCTTGCTTTCCCATTTAGGGAAATAGTGCCAGGTAGCACGTTTTCAGAATCCCTACTCATAGCAGAAGAAATAAAAGTCAAAGACGCCTTCCTCTTACCACGTAAAGATCATCTTATGAGTGTATCGAACTGTGAAGGACTAGGAAAAATGTGAATTCACTATTAAGCACTCTGTAATACCATGGAGTTCTTTATCTGTCTTCTGTTGTGAAAGATGGATAAGTTCTTCTCACTATTGTAAGCCATTTACTTTTAAAACAAAACTACCTAACACATAAATCTTCACGTTTTAATGTTCATTATTTTAGGACAATCACTTTTCAATTCTCTACTTTTCTACAGAGGCTGTGTTCCTACTTTCTTCTACATGTAAACAGAATTTCCTAGGCCTGCATCAACTATTTTGCTTCAATTACCCCCCCCCCAAAAAAAAAGTAGATACAAAAGGGCAAACGTAACTAAGCAGGTAGGATCTGGGACTGATTTTTCCCTAATGTAACATTAGAGACTTTGACAGGGAAAGGAAAAACACAGCCATCCAAGAGTGATCATTCAGAAAGAGTGAACACACTCCACAAAACAGCCTACACTTTCCCAGAATAAGTACCACCAATAACTTTGAATGTGAGCACAGGCTGAAAGAGAACGGTAAGCACCTTAAGAAAAAATAGTTCTTTACGTCATTGTATTTTAAAAACCCTATTTAGGAATTTTACTGGTGGTGTATATCTGCACCCATGTCCCTGAGCAGATATAAGAATCGTGCTGCTGCCTTGGGGGGTTCTTCATCGGCAGGAATGCAACTGAACATACTAAGCTGCTGGATGCAATCTCTGCCCACCGGAATATTTCCTATCTCAGTCTAAAGATGTATTTATTAATTTTGAACAACTACTGCAGCAGCAGGATTTCCAGCAACGCTGCCTCTTAAATACTTGGGTCCAGACACAACTCGAGGAAGATACAGTATCTCACATTATGCAGAGATCCCAAGAAAAGAGCTGAGGGGAATGGAAAAAAAATAAAAATGTGGCACGTTCATCATGGCTATGCAATACCAAGTCAGCGCAGTAAAATCTATCTGTTGAACTACCCTATAGAAAAACAACAGAGAAGACAGTAAAAGAGACCAGGAGACAATTTAGCAATTTTTTGTGATCACTGGTACAAAGAGCAAGACTGGCAGGACATACATACACAAAAAAAAAATTAAAACCAGAAATTAAAGATACTCAGAAAGTTCAAGGTCTTGTGAGCAAAGCATACTTCAAGATATAAATCCTCACCAAATACTTTTTTTTAAATCAAGCGAACTCCTGGTGAAAAACACCCAACAACCACACTCAAGGAGTACATACAAGAAAGCTGCAACATTTGAAAAATGTTCCCCGACAACTTCTGGCAGAAGAGAATGCCTGTATCTCAAAGGTGAAAATGGGCCACAATTCCTCAGGAATTTAAAGGACTGAAGGTTCACACTTTATTAGAACGCCGCCTCTCAACTTCCTACTCATAAACAGTCCTATAAAAACCGCATGCGGTTATCAACCTTTTTTCTTCTTCAATCACTTATCATCTATTTTATGATCCGTTTCTCCTGGTTTTTATATTCCTCTTCCTACTTCATGCCAGCAGTGTCTGTCACGCCTTCTCACGCTTGAGGCTGCAATTCCTCACACTGTGCCGAACTCCAATTTCCCTGCTCGCGCTCCTCGTACACCCGACCAACCTCCGCTCCCTGCTGCACCAGCAAACGTTTCACTGCTCCGGAGGACAGACCCCACCGTGCCGAGGACAGCGGGGAACCGCACGCCGGTTGCTACGATAAGCGCCCAGCCCGGCAGGCCGGCGGCGGCCGAACCCGGGGGCCCGCTCCCCCGCCCCGGGGTCCGCCCGGCTCAGCCGCAGCACCCCGGCCCAATGGCGCCGCCGCCGCGGGCCGCGCTCGCCCCGCAGCGCCCCCGCACGCCCGCGGCGCTGTCAGCGCCCGGATCACACACGGCACCCGGCAGCTCCGGCCCCGGGCCCCGCCGGCCGGCACCGCCCCAGGATGGCGCACGCAGGGCGGCGGCGGCTCCCCCGCGGGGGAGCGGGGCAGTCGCCGCGGCCCTGCACGAGCGGCCTCTGCGGCGGGAGCCCCGGGGAACTGGGGCGAAGGGGAAAGGAGCCGTTACTGCGCGAGGTGAACCGCGCTTCCTGCCGGCTCGGCCCCGCCGTGCCCGGGGCCCGGCCCGAGCTTCTCCCGGCGGCGCCGCCCTCACCTGCCCCGGGACTCCGCCCGCCGCCCGCTCCGCTCCCTGCGCCGCCTCGGGCCGGCTCCGCCAAGATGGCGGCGCTTCGGGAAAGACCACGGCGAGCGCGGGGTGGGGGGGCCGGGGTGGTGCTCCCGCTCCCGCCCCCCCGGAGCCGCCGCCGCCGCTGCGCCCCGCCCGGCCTCGCCCCCCCCCGGCCCCGCCGGGCCCCGCCCGCCCCGGCGCCCGGCCCCGCCCTGGGCGCCCTCTGTGCTCACGGTCGGTGCGGTGCGGCCGCGACGCTCCTCCGGCCCTCGGCACGGCCCGGCCCGGCGCGGCGCGGCCCGGCGCCGATGGGGGTGGCGGAGGCGCTGGGCGCCGGCGCGGCGCGGCTACTCTTCTACCCCTCGCTTGCTGTACACGGCGGCGCGGCGCGGGCTGCCGGGGTCTCGCGCGGCCTGGTTCCACCGCATCGACGGAGGCCGTGCTGCTCGGGGCCGCTGCCGCTGCGGGGCGCAGCCGCAGGGTAAGGCGAGCGGCGCGGCCGGGCGGCCGGCCGGGAGGGCGGCGGTTCCTGACCGCGCCTGTGCCCGCAGATGGTGGCGGAGGAGAACGTGCGCGCCGTGGTCACCCTCACCGAGAACTACGAGACCCGCTTCTTCTGCTGTTCCCCACAGGTGAGCCCGGGCATTGCCTATGACCCCTGGACAGGTCTCTCGACGCTCCGTCGGTCCCGGCGCAGGGAGGCATTATCCGCCTCCTGCCGCGTTCCCGGCAGCGACCGCCAAGTCCTGTGACAGCAAAGACGTGACTTCTCGCACCTTATAAACTTACTTTACTTACAAACCACTAAAACGTGAGGATGCGAGTGAACTGTTACAGCTGCAGTGGCGGGGAGGGACGGGGAGCATTGAATCCACGTACACCACTATACAGGAATGCCTTTTGTTTTGGGAAGAGATCCCAACTCCCCTCTTTTCCTTTAGCTGAAATACATCTTTTCAGTTCCCTTTAACTACTCGTTTCTGATGGTCAGCACTAAACTTTTCATACATCAGATTTAAAGGATTGACATTCAAAGTCTGTTTACAATCCCACTGAGTTTCTCAACTGTCTGAACAGGTTTTGGGTTTCTTTCAGGGGAAAAAAAAAAACCAAACAGAAAATTAACTGACCAAATCTGCTATGTCCATTTCAGGAATGGGAGGCAATGGGAGTGGAGCAACTGTGTCTCAGCACTGTGGATCTAACTGGAGTCCCCACCTTGGAAAACCTCCACAAGGGCGTTGACTTCATCCTGAAACACCGAGCCTGTGGTAACACTGTCTATGTGCACTGCAAGGCAGGACGCTCCCGCAGTGCCACCATGGTAGCAGCATATTTAATTCAAGTAAGGAGTCTATGCTAAATGGGGTTTACTTTCATACAGTCAAGTCTAGGCAAAAGCAGACAACCTTTATAGTTTGCTCTTGCTCAAGAAACCTGAGCATGTACAGGTTCATTAATATTCCATGATTTTACAGAGTTTGTACACCTATTTTAAGAGAGGCCTCAAACTCACCTTGCTGTTTTGAATGATTCTGCTGTTCTTAATTCTTTCTATGGAGAAACAGATTGAGGTGGGAATAACAAGTCACTCATAAGGATAGGTTCACGGAGCAGATAAAACACCCATTTTTGTTCAGATTTTCTCCTTGGTTCACTGAAATGGTGAGCCTTCCTATGCTTTTCAATAAATACAATTAATGATCAAGAGAACTGACTTTGGTTTTCTGAGTTCCTCTACTGACCCAACCATTAGGCTGAGTAAGCCAGCCCTAAGAACAAAATTCTGCCCGTGGATTCTTCTGTCGGTGTTATTAAGTGCTCCCTGGAAAACTTTCCACTAGTGCTGAAGGGAAAATTTTCTCACTAAGTGCTGAAGTGCGACATGAGTACCAGTAAAGTTTTTTAAAAATTTAAAAATGCAAGCTGCGCTTTTGCTCCGGTCTGGTGGGACTAGGACAGGAACCTATTCACAACATGAAGAAAGAGTAAGCGAGACAGAAAGTGGAGGGCCCGGGCAGCAACCATCCCTCTTTAACCGAGGGACTCATTTCATGAATGATTCCGTGACATTCAGGCTTCTCTGAGAGGAACGTGAAGTAAACAGAAGGGGGGAAGCAGTAAGTTTTCTAACACCTCTAATGTTGCCTATAGCCTCTGGGAAGGTTCCATTAAATGGTGCAGGGATGGAATGGATTTTCACTTGCTGGGTTTCTGCCTTTTCAGCTGCATCACTGGAGCCCTCAGGAAGCAATTCAGGCCATTGCCAAGATTCGTCCCCACATCCTCATTCGACACAAGCAAGTCCAGGTCCTGGAGAAATTTCACAGGAACATGATCACTGGGACAGCTGCATAATGTCAGTAAGAACTACCAAAATCCCCATCTCAGCTGCTTTAAAAAAATGTTTTTATGATTTAATCAAGGCTTATGTGTTGTTCTTCTTGACCAACAATAAAGAAGTTTTTATATAAACTACAGTAAAGGGGAAATTGGGCTGTTTCATTAAAGCTTTCTTTTCTTGTAGTTAATATCTTAGTTCTCTTGGAGCCTCATAGTTCTTTTCCAGGTATCAGTGCTCAGCTGAACTGGAAATCCACAGAAAGTTGAAAATATTTGTATTTGAAGCAAAGGAAAAAAAAATACCTTTGTCTCAACAGAGACTTTATTCAGATTCTTACCCAAAGGGTTACAGTGCCAACAGAGATGGGTAGTAGGAAGTGGTCTTAATTCTGTCTTTCACCAACACTATGTTATAATTACAGGTGGGGATTCCTAGTACAGTAAAGGAAGCCAGTGTCTAAAAATTATCTCCTTCTTTATGCTAGGTGATGACAGAGCAGTAAGCAAGTACCCAGTTAGTTACCACTCCTCTAGAAGTGCTGAATGCAACCTACTTAAGGTCCTAGGGTCAGCTCTGGAATCTGTCTGCCATGCCCTCCTTCTGCAATAGGACATAGGAATGTTTAAATGGGGATATCCCTGGGGGATACAGTGCACATCTATCTCTGTGATTGACATGGCAGCAACACGTGGTCTCCTAGGCAGTTAAAACTAGCAGCCTGGGCCAAGGAAGATGTTGTCCGTATGCCACAGGATTTGTTATTTGTAGATTGGTTCCAGGCTAAAATAGCCATTTGCTGCAGTTTTGCCTCAAACACAAGCAGCTTATCATCAAGGAATCAAAGTAATGGCATTTAGTTCATCTGAAATCTAAGATACAGTTCAATAAAGTTCAATAGTGCTATGTAAAAGAATAGGCCCACAATCAGAAAGCCTGTACTTCCTCTGCACAGGTACAGAGAATGGGGTCTTTACAGGATATTGTGAGCTTGTGGTAATTGGGACTGGTGCTGAGGGTGGTAGGTGTCTCCAAGCTGCACAGCAGGACACTGTTGCTGCCCTTTCTATCACTGGCCTGTTTTTCCTGCTTAGGCCAGGACAAACTGCAGGTTAGTGAGCAGCACTTTGATGCCACTCGTGACTGTTACAACAGAGGTGGCTGGGTTAAGTTTAAAAGTATTTGCATCCCCCTTTTTATAGCGGTCACGAAAGACATAGATGCTGCCATTGCAGCTGGCAATTTTCCAGAGGGATGGTACTGAACTCCAGGCATCTGGGAGGCATAGCCGGGTGAAGCTATCCAGTAGGGGATTATAGCATAGCAGTGAATCCCCCTCAGCGACAATGAACACCACGTCCTTGTGCACAGCAGCATGCATGCGCCCCGCAAAAGGCAGCACGTATGGCTTCACGTGGCATTTCTCTGTGTTGGTATCGTAGCACTGAATTAGCCGAGAGGGCTTGGTGAAGAAGTCCAAGTCATTTTCCTCCCCACCCAGCAGGTAAATGACACCATTAAGGTTTACACCTGCAGCTCCAGAGACTGCCACTTCCAACTGGCTGGTCTCTGTCCAGACGTTGTCTCGTACTCTGTAATATATGACAGCATTAGAGAGAGTGTCCTGTAGAGTTTTCCCTCCTAGTGAATATATTGCATCCTTGCTTGGCACAGAGACAAGGGTGTGTTGGAGCCGGTCACGGGGCAGAGGGGCACACCATTCCCAGTCTATAGTCGCATTGTTGCATTTCCACATGCGTCGTGGAATGGAGCCACCAACAACATATAGGTCACTACCGTGCTTGCAGGCTGCGGTGATCTGGTGACACAAGCTGTTCTGGCCACTCACACTAATGGAGTCATCGTCAGCACAGTGTAGAGAGACAGCGAGTGAATGTGTACGTGATGACTCCTTTCCAATCAGGTAGATGTGAACATTTTCTCCAATCACCTGAGAGAAAGGAGAATTAGATCTGTTTACACAAACATCACTGAATTTTTCAGCTTAGGATCCATCTGTGGGTCTGAGGTATAAAACCTTTTTTCCCAGTCTTGCCACCCTACAGCATTCAGGACTCAGAACCTCAAGGCCTTTTCACGATACCAGTCATATCTGACAGCAAAACAGCCAGAGACATCACTGGAACCCAAGTGTTTATGGTTTAGATAAGGGACGGTTACATCACTGATGGAGTACAGTTATTTTAAGGGGAATGCCAAACGTAGATTTCTGAACAGTCTCTTTGGTAAGTGAGCATCGAGTTAAAGAAGGTATTTGTGGCATTGCTCCAATCATCAGTGATATCAACATCAGGTTATATTAAAAAAAGCTGTCAGTGGGGTTGCTATTTATGACAATGAAAGTATTCTCTCACAAGCACCATGAATTTCAACGGCATTTATGTTTTGCAACTTTAAAGTCACACCTGTGAGCAGAATACCCTGCCCTGGGAAGTGTGAAACCAGCAAGTGCTACACCAGCCCCAGAACAGAAGGTCTTTTTATACCTTCAGACTTGATCGCAGTGTCTCTGAAAAGCCGGCTCTCTCCTCCTTGTTGAAGTTGATCCAGGTTTCTATGGCAACCGTTGGATTCTGAGAACATGGAACGCCATCTGCAGTTCAGGGACAGAAAGGCATTTATGATATCTAGACAAAGGTGTGTGTACTCAGAATCATCCTTTCCCTGCGACGGCCTTCCCCCAGTCCCACCACAAACTCTACTTTCTAGAGAGGAAAAATTGATACAGAGATTTATAGGTTTTGGCAGGCATGATCGGCACTGGCAGCCAGACAACTACATGAAAGTAGTCTGGATAAATATCAGAAGACAGAGCTGCCAGATCTTAAGCGCTTTGGATGAGTACAACAAAGGAACCTATGTCCAACAGAAAGAGGGCAGGAAGGAGAATTTACATGCTGTGTGTTGATGACAAGTATTTTCTTATTTAATCATTTAGGCAAAAAGACTCTCTTATTCAGAATCTCAGCACCTGCCTTTCTCTCTGGCTGGTCCTAGAAACCTATCTAGCAAAAGTCATCTGCAGAATGTGTCTGAGCCCTGTCAGACAGCTGACCTTCATGACTGAACATCTGGTGTTGCTGCTATCCTCTTAACATTTGGAAATCCCCAATGAGCTACTATAGCTTTTCTTAGCCATGTGACAGTAGGAAACACTCAACAGATTGCATCAGATTTCAATCTGTCTCCAGACATAACTGGAAGTTTTGGTTAAGCCACGCACTATTGCATCATCATCGTGATCATTGTCAGTACATTACCTAGAAGATTTTAAATATTTCCTTCCAGTTTGCAAGCAATTATGCCTGTATTCACTGAGAAGTTTCCCTATGAAGGCTCTCTGATTCTGTAGTCTGTTCTCATGACAAACCCCGCATTCAATGATGCTGAAGGCACCAGACAAATTCCAACTCTTTTCTCTATACTGGAAGGGAGGAGACAAAGCATGGCACAAAAGCAGGTATTTTAACTCTGTTTATTAGTAAAAGGGATTTCCATAAGCCAACCATCACATGTAGTGATTAAATGGAAAAAACCTGGATTTTGAAATTCGTTCTAGAGTGCAACAAAAGCTAAACTTCATAAGTTACTATTTTATTAAATAAATTTTAATCCTTGCTACTAATAGCTTCTTCTATTTAATTCTTCATTAACTAAACAAAGACGCAGGAAATGCAAAAGCAAAGGATTTTCCCTACCAGCAGGAGTGTATTTCAGATTTAAATCCATCATATGAGCTAAGCTGCAGCATAAATATTGAGTAATGTGATTCTATATATGGAAATAGACCATGCATGGAAAAAAACTTTTATTGAGCAATTATTTTAATTTAGGACCACAAACACTAAAGTCCATAGTCCTAAAACTATGATTACTATGTGGAATCCCTAAGAACTTAAAGGTGATTGACCTCTAGAGTTTTATTTCATTATTTTAGAGGGATTTTTTAATAAACTCAATGGCTCTTTAAAAATTTTAGCTAGATAGTTATCAAAATTACTCTAATTTTATCATATTTTTGAGCTATCAGTACATATACTCAATAGTTTTTTTACTGAAAATTTCTTTAGATGTAATAGAGATAATATAAGGCAATAGCTGTAAAGACTCTCATATGCATAGCATCAACTCCAAAGGCTATTTTAAGCCTTATGGACAGATTTGCCAGTATTCCAAAGAAGACAGTCATAGTAGGTTTATTGTTGTAACAGCACATAAAACCCATGATGCACAGAGCAGTTATTTACTCATTTACAAAGAGTAATTAAAGCCAGGAAGGGGCATATTTGAATGTATGAGCTGCTTCTACATTCCTGCTTCCTCTAGCAATGATACATAAATGCACAAAAATTGAGTTGTGACTGCATCCTGGAGGGGTAACCACGTACTGGCTGTACCTACTAGGGCAGCAGATGACCTTCAAGGATTGGTGCAAGCCGGACTAAGTTTATGTGTTGACACATCCCTCACAACACTGAGTCATTGCATCCATTACTGTGGAAGGCTATTACCTTTACAAGAAGGATAGTTACTGTATTATCTAAGACACTACAATGCCTCTATTTCAGTCAGCTGAGTGCCCAGCCTAAATAATCCTAACAATTATATACAATTGTAAATAACACCAACATATTCTAAAAATATGGGTTGTGCTCAAGCCTTCTTACAAACGTTGAGTTATAGCATTACTATGTTAAATGATTATGAACTAAAATGGAAAAAAAGACTTTCATAAGATGTTTATTTTGGGTAAGGTTTCTTTGTTTTAATGCAAACAAAACTCCAACAAATTTTTGGAATTTATGTTTCAAAACCTGTAATACTTCTAACCTGTTGACTCAGGAACTGCTGGCAAGTACCAGCATCCTCTATGACCCTTTTCTACAGCTTAGATGTTTCATGTCCAGTAACAATAGCTTTGGTTTTTTTCTGATTAAGTTATCCAGAATGTTTTGCTTTGCTTTGCTTAGCTAAGTCTCTGAGTACACTGCGATTATGAAAGCTTGGATTTTTCCATTTATTTCATTCAATCCCTGGTAGACTCTCTGAAAGTCTCTTTCTACATCCACATCCTGGCTAGTTTCAAGAACTCCTTACCTGTAAGGATGTCTGTCAGTAGGCGGACAGGCAGGTGTAGGAACTCCTCTGTGTCTTGCAGCTGAGACAAATGTGACTTTGCACAGTGTTTTGCAGCTGTGTAGAGCTCCATGTCACTGTGTTGGTCTGCCAACCACATGACCTGCAGACAGTTTCTAACCTGCACCGTACGGGCCAGAAAACGGGAGCACTCTTCAAAAAGGGCAGTTAGCTGGTACATGTCTGCCACTTCATAGGTTTCCTGCAACTCCTCTGCCCTCAGCTTTACAGTTCCATGGTAAATGTAGTCCACAAGAAGCTGAAAGACACTTTCGCTAACGTCCTGCAGCTCAATCACCCGGTTGTGGGCCTCCTTTAGGTTGGAAGTGAACATAGAACGAAAAAAGCAACTCTGAGCTGAGAGGACCAAGCGGTGCAGCTGGAATTCTTTGCCTTCCACTGATATTGTAACATCGGCAAAGAGCTCATCCTCCAAGCATAATTTCATAATACCCTGGGCCACACGGCCTGAGTGGGAGCGGTCAGTGAAGGTGTAGTTCACAAAGTAGTTTTCTTCTGCAGAGGAGCCTCCAGTCTCTTCTGACGAGTCCATGGTGCTGCACAGATCAGACCTCCAGCAATCTGTAAAATCACAATAATTATATGGCTTTCTCTCTACACTAACAAGATTAGGCAGTACTTCAGGGTACAGGGAAAAATCAAACGTATTGGTAAGAGTCCAGCATATTTTAGACTGAATATGAATAGCACAGCCAGAAACTTCTGCTTGAGCCTCAGAATCTCAAACAACAAATGAGAAGTTGGCATAATTAAAATTATAATATATACCAAACTTCCAGTACAGTGAGCATCACACCCCAGCAGAGCTGGGAGACGTGCATATCTTTTCACCACTCATTTCACTGACACAAAGAAATGCATCAATAGTTATTCAAGTGGAAAGTCCAGCAACTGCCCTAGGAAACTTGTAAAGCCAAAAAAAAAAGTGGCAGCAGCATAGCTAGACTAGATGTAAAAAGGATTACAATACTGTACTAACAAAGAGCACAGGCAGCAGCTCATATCATTAGTATAATTACCATCCAAACCCAACATGATGAATCTGCACAGTGTTATCAAGTAAGGTGAACTTGTTTTTACCAAAAAGATGTGTGAGAAGTTTGCCAGACGTAACCACCAGTCCTTCAAGCTAACCAAATGAGACAACTAATGGTTATATTCTGCTGTTTAATGTGCCAGGCACCTTCAGCATGCAAAACAACATGTTAGATGTTGTTAGTCACTGTTTCTCAAGCAGAAAGGGGAATAAAATTTAAAGAAAACACCTCTTAGTAGGTACTACAGGTGTTTGCAGAGTTCCAGGTAGTTTATGGGTCAAAAAAGCTTCTGGAAATGAGGACTGCTATAGGAAGGAGCTCTTTTTTAACTTGGCTCTTGACAGTATTAAGAACGAATAGTTGCCTACCTGCATTCACTTTAAACTTATTTTTACAACTGAACTATTAGCTGTGATGGCTGATATCACAAATTTCTTCAGTCAATACTGAACATGATTTCCAGTCCAATGTTTCCCAAAGATATGATTTTTCTCCAGGAGATTCATAGTTACTCTTCCATGATTTATTTTGTCAAACATGCATTTTCTTACAATAGCTCTGTTTGATACAGGACAGCTCCTAAGTTCTTTGCTCAAATTCAGTTCACAGTCTACATCCCTAATTGCCTGGACAAGTCTATCCCATCTCTGGTGATGGCCTATCTTAATTATACCCTTACCACGATTTTACAGTAGTTCCGGTCTGTCTGAAAAATACCTATACATTAGTCTGTAAGAGACTGAGGAACTTCAATTAGCACAGTACACATCAGTACTATTTTTTCCAGCTTTAGCAAGTATGAGCCTATCCTGCAAATTAGCTTCTACTTCCGTTAAAGCTCTTTATCCTTACAGTCAAAGTGCTCAGAAGATAAGCCCAGAATGCTGAAGAGATAATGAAGCGCACCAGGATACAGAGGGCTGAACTACCCTGCCCTCTTGACACGACAGAACCAGCTTCCCACACTGCCCTCCAAAATCCCCAGAGGACTGGTACCAAGTCACAAAAGAAATGCCAACAGCAACTAAAGACTGCTGCAAATCTCACATCCTTCTTTGCAACACGAAGCTCCCCTTTGCATCCATGGTGTCTCTGATACAAAAGAAAAAGGTGTGGAGGACAGTTAAGTGTCCCACAAAGCCGAATCTTACACTCCATGTATTCGTGTGTATTCCGTAGGCCAGGCTACTGGTGATAGCTGTGTAACCAACACCTGGCACACGTCCTCCACAGAATCACAGAATCCATTTAGTTGAGAGATCATCAAGTTAAACCTATGACCAAACACCACCGTGTCAACTAGACCATGGCACCAAGTGCCACATCCAGTCTTTCCTTAAACACCTACCAGGGATGCTAACTCCATCAGCTCCCTCGACAGTACTTTCCAAAGTCCAATCACCCTTTCTGTGAAGAAATTCTTCCTAATTTCCAACCTGAACCACTCCTGGTGCAGTTTAAGCCTGTGTCCTCTCGACCTGTCACTAATTACTCAGGAGGAGAGGCCGACTCCTACCTGGCTTACAACTTCCTTTCAGGTATTTGTAGAGGGCTATAAGGTCACCCCTGAGCCTCCTTATCTCCAGGATAAACAACACCAGCTCTCTCAGCCGCTCCTCATAGGACCTGTGCTTCAGGTTACTTTCTTCCCTACTCCTGACAGGATCGCGGATGCCGCGGCAGCGCCCGGGATCGCGGAACTCAAACACAACTGACAGCGACCTCACGGTCCGGGGCGGGGAGAAGGAAGGAAGGAAGAAACGCTAATCCTCGGAGACGCGCAGACCCCCATCAGGCCCATGCTGGCGCCGTGCAAAGCGCCAGCGCGTTCCCTCGCCCCGCGGCGCTGGCTCAGCCGGGCTGCCGTCGCCCCCGCCTCCGCCGCTCGCTGCCCGCCCGGGCCGGCGTCGCGACTGCTTCCCGCCCGCCCCGCAGTCAGCACTCACCTGCGGGCGCCTTCCTTCATGCGCGCCCGGGTGCCCCAGCGGCTGCCTCCTGCTCTCACCCTGCGCCGGAGCTGCCGGGCACTCCGCCGCTGCCGCCACCGACCCGCGCGTCCCGGGAAGCTATTTGTCGCTTCGCCCGGGGGCAGTGCGTGGCGGGCGTGCTTTCCGCTTCCGCCCCGTGCCGTCCCCTCCGTGTCCCGGCGGGATGTTTGGGCGGTGGCGGCGGGCGGGGCCTGGCCGCGGGTTGTCGTTACGGAGGTGAGGCCGCCCGGGGGCTCGAGTGGCTGTCCGGGGGCGCGCGGCGGGCGGCACGGGCCGGTCGGGGCGCTGCGGTCGGTGAGACGTGTCCCGTGTTCTCTCGCGGCTGCGGCGCACGGCGGCGGGCGGGCCGGCTGGCGGGGCTCTGCCGGGGAGACTCGCCGTAGTGCGGGCCGGTTTGGTTGGCGGCGGGGTGCGGGGAGCCCGGGCGTGCGGCTGTGCCCCTGCCAGCCGCTGGCTCCGTGGGAGGGCGCTGAGCTGCCCCAAGGACGTTCCTGGGCGATAGAACCGCTTTAGTGTAGGGGAAGGGTGTCGGGGAAGGGTTGGGACCTGTCGCGCCTAAACCCAAATTTTGTGCAGAAAATGGGGTAACCCTGCTTTGGATTCCCGTGCTTGCCCTGGATTCCCATGTCCATCCGTTCTCGTGGGTCCACCTGTTCTTTCTGTATCTGGACAGCAGCTTCATAGTTCCTCATTGCCCTGAATCTTGAGGGTTTGTAATCATACCAACAGTGAAAATAAACCCCAGAAAACAACCTGTTGTTTGTGTTTTAATTATGAGGAAGTTGCTTAGATGCTGGCAGATCAAACAACACCAGAAAACAAGATCCTTTCTAGACCCAGGTTGAATCGCATAAGCAGTATCTAAGTTCATATTGTTCTGTCATTTCTGCCTTCCTCTTTTTCATTCTGGTACTTTCTTCTGTGTTATCTTTTTCGACTGTTCCTGCTCTGTTTAGAGTCCACAAAAAAAATTCCATGTAGTACTGACACAAATTTCATTCCTTATCGAAATGTCTAGTTCTGTGTTTTTTGTAGCACACTATGTTGCTAAAGTCCAGTCTCTGACAGACAGCTAGACTGGTTAAAGGGATTTTTAAGTCAGGGATGGGACTTGCTACTCTTTTTTCTGTAGCTTTCTGTATTTCCTACTGTAATCTTGAAGACTTTGTTTTTCTCTTTAGCTACTGTCAGACCAAAAAATGAAGTAGAACAGAAGCAGCTATGTGCTTTTGGGGAGTATGTGGCTGAGATTCTGCCCAAGTATATCCAGCAAGTACAGGTAGGTGCTGTTCAGAAATTGTTCTTGTGGCGGGACGGGGCCCAGTCAACGCACCACTTGCTTGTTAGCTGTTTTCAGAAGTTGTTCTGCGGAAGAAAAATTGTCAGAATTGCATGAAAATTACTGCTATTATTAGACACCTTGTTCTGATGTAATTTTGTGTCTGCTGTACCACTTTGAGTATTCTGCTGGAATCGGCATAATGTTCAGTCCTGTTGGTGTTTGTACTCATGCCCTTCCCACTCACCATTCTGTTTTTGTCAGGTGACCTGTTTCAATGAGCTGGAACTTTTGATCCATCCAGATGGGATCATTCCAGTTCTGACCTTCCTTCGTGATCACACCAATGCCCAGTTCAAATCCTTGGCTGACCTGACTGCTGTTGATGTCCCATCTCGGCAGTATCGCTTTGAGGTAAGAACTGCTCATAGGTGCAGAACTTAGAGGGTTTCACAAGTGCTGACGGCTGTAGGTACTGGTTGCAGCTCTGATCACTTTTTTTGGTTTCTGACAGTGAGAAGAAAATCCACTCTGAAATGCTGGGTTTTGTTTAATCTGTTAATCATGGAAATAGTAGCAGAACTGATACTGCATGGGTTCTTAGTCTGGCTTTCCTTTCCTCATTCTGCTAAAAGTCTCTTTTTTTTTCTTTTAATTTTTTTTCCTTTGATTTCTTTTAGCTTTAGCAAATGTCTTCAGACTTCTTTCTGGCCAGTTGTGAATTGGTGCTCATCCAATGTAGGCCCATCAATTGCTGTTGACACAAATGTTTTTCTTTAAATCCCATCGGTCTTCTTAACAATTTTTCTCTTAAAAAAAACAAACCCAAAGCAAAAAAAAACCCTATTTAGTTGTTTTAAAAACATTTCTTTAAAGTTAAGGCCAAATGGGAGATGTGGCAGATTTTCAGGAGGCTCTCAGAAGATTTTGGGCACTGAACTTTGACTGACTTTCAGTGGATACTGGAGATTTGGTTCCCACAGATGCTTTTGAACGTATCACTGTATCACTTTTCAGCTGCAGAAAAACCTCAGCTGCAAATAGAAAAAGAAAAAATACAACTTCTGTGAAACGACAGACTCAGCATATTCTCTTCTCACCTACTATGAGAAAGCTTTGTCCACAGTATTGTTGCAAAGATGTTATTGTAGTTTCACTTTGATCTGTAAAATTCAGTGTACTTCTTCTTCACCTTCTCCCACTGATAGTAATTGCACTAGTAATTGATAGCCATTTTCTTTGAGATAGACTATTGTCAAGTGTTTCCATCCCTTCAGTATTCTCTCTTTTAAGATTTAGTATCCCTCTTTACTTCAATTCTTCTTCATCAGTCATGCTTTCTAAATCTCACATAATTTTTGTTACACTTCTAAGTAACAAAGTGATAAACTATTGGAACCTCAGTTGTTATAGTGTCTTTTAGTGGCCAGCTTTAAAATGCTGGATGTGATTCTGCTCATAAAGAATATTTGAAATAGTCTTTGTGTGGCTTTCCTTAGCCAGTGCTGTACTGCAGAGAGATCCATAAATGCTGTACAAGACCAATGCTGCTTTTTATTCTGATTCAGATTGTGTACAATTTGCTGTCCCTGCGGTTCAACAGTCGGATCCGTGTAAAGACATACACAGATGAGCTGACACCTGTTGACTCAGCAGTGTCTGTGCACAAGGCAGCAAACTGGTATGAGAGAGAGGTGAGTGCTGGTGTGCTTGGGAACAGTCTTTGTGGAGGGAGGCTGTATTTTCCTGATTAAACTGATTTCCCAGGGCCCTCAGGAAGAAAGAAGTGTTTCCTTCGCTGCCTTTTCAGAGTAGGGGATAAAAGAGTGATTTGCTTTTGAATTAATTCTTGCATCAGTTTTGCTGGCGCTGTACAAAGCCAGGCACGTAACTGAAATTTTACGGACATAATACATGCAGCTTTTTGGCTTTTTTTTTTAATTTCAAATATCATTGAACTTACTTGGCTCCATTTCATTTAGGTTTGGGACATGTATGGTGTTTTCTTTGCCAACCACCCTGACCTAAGGCGAATCCTCACAGACTATGGGTTTGAGGGCCATCCCTTCCGGAAGGACTTCCCGCTCTCTGGTTATGTGGAGGTAGGAGATACAGTCATGTCTAAAGTTATCAAGTCTCTCTAATACTCTTATCTGAGTTTTCATACAAAGATGTGACAGCTTTACAGTCATTTGTCTGAAAGGTACTAAGGATGTTTCATTTGTGTGTATTCCAGAAGAGCTGTAGAGATCTCCTGCATGGAAATTTGAAGTGTCACACAAAGTATTATCCATAATAAGGCAGCCTAAGGCCAAAGACATTGAGCAAATGTTATGTGCCATATAATATACCAAAGATACCTGTCAGGCAGAGAAAGTGCCTGAAATTCGTTTAGCATGTTTTCTAGAAGATTAAAGCTTCCACTGCAAAACTGAACCTTTCTAGAGGGGTAAAGGACTGAATTGTTCTTAATTCATTTAGAACTTTACTTTGTTGAGGTTTTGTAGGCCCAGTTTATAAAACTAGTTAAACTGACTCTTGTGATTATCATTTACTTCTGTATGTCAAACCACAGGTGAAATGAGTGTTTGGTATCTGCCTAGTTTCAAATGATTGCCTTTCAGAAACAGACAATATTTTGTGCAGTTTTAAGACTGAGTTGAGTCTCAGAAGGAAACAGTGAGGTTCTTTAAGCAACAGAATTGCAGAAGTGAAGACCAGGCAGCATCTCCTGAGCTGGGGTTTGGAGATTTGGACTAACACAGTGAGGATAAAGCAAGCCAATCAGAAGAGTCTGGTACTCACCTGCATTTCATCCCATTTGTAATCTTTTCCTCATGTTCTGAGTGTTATGCTAAAAATTAGAACAACTAAAACCAAACGAATGCCATATTATAAGGATTCATGAGTGTAGTCTCAGCTATGCCAGGCCCAGTCACCTTATTTCAGTGACTCAGGAGAAATTCCTTTGTCATATGACAAACTAAAAGTGTTATTCCATGTGAACTTCATCTGGACTGTTAGGCTGAGCACTCCTAATTCTAGGCAGTTAGTCTTGACACCTGAGGTGCATGGTAGCAAAGAGGAGAGTTTTCCTGGAGAGTCCAGAGATTTTAGTAGCATATGTTCTTGTTTAGTAATGGGGAGAACTGAAGCTGTGGCAGAGGCCTGTGGGCTATCCATGGCGTAAGGAATAGAATTCCCTTCACTGGAGGGTGGTGTGGGTCATGACTGTGTACGGCTCATCACAGATGCCATTGGGACTGGGTGAAAATGACTGGTTGTGTCCTTTGCACTGTTCTAGGTGCGATATGATGATGAAGTGAAACGGGTAGTGGCAGAGCCTGTGGAGCTGTCTCAGGAATTTCGCAAGTTTGATCTGAACAGTCCATGGGAGGCATTTCCTGCCTATCGTGCAGCTCCAGAACCCCTGAAAATAGAAGCAGGAGCCAAGAAAGAAGACACGAAATAACAGCAGAACAGAGCGGATGCCCGGCACCATCCTTTCTGTTCTAACATAGTATTTATAATAATAAAAGTTGATATGAGATACTTGCCTGGTGTGAACTCATGAATAATGTTTTCCAGCTAGATGAAAAGCACAAGGTGAGGGAATGCTCACTTACAGTCCTGATAATCCAACTAGTAGATGTTTATCTGGTGCTTTGAGTTGTAAAACAACAGTTGCAAATTGAATGGAGTGCAGGCATTCCCTGTGGCTAAGGTGTTCTGTATACACTACTGCTAGCAGTCCTTGCAGGCATAAGTCATAACCTGAGTGCTCGCTAGGAAACTGTACTGAAGCAACTGTGGAGCTTAAGCAGTGGGACAGCAGTATCTTAGCTTTCCAGGATGGATGTTGGGAAAATGGTAATAATACGGCAGACATGCAAAGCTTTTATAAATGATTATAATGCAGTTCTTATTAGGACAACACAAATACACCTGGATCCAGACCAAAACAATTATGGAAATCTCTCTGTTGTTTTCATGGAAATTAGGTCAGTCCCTTTTCTCCAGACAGGAATTGCAGATAACCTCTGATTTGACACTCCCTCATGGTGGCTTTTTGTTCACAATCAAGCAGTCTTTACTTTCTTCCAACGTCTTCAGATTGTGCTTCTTTTCTGCAGCCAAAAATATCTTCCTCATCTCATAGACAAGAGTCTGTGCCTTTTTGTCACTGTTCCAATTATTTTGAGCTTAATGATATAATAGCATTAACACTTCCTTTGCTTTTATGGAAAATCTCAATTTTCTCCAAAAAAGCTGGAAGTACACTGTAGTTCATTGACAGTCATCAATTCATAATGTCCCTTGTCCTTGGTCTGGAAAATGCATAGTGCAGTTCTGCATCAGAAAGCTAACTGGCTTCATTAAGATCTGAAAACTATTGTATAAGAGATTTCATAAAATAATCCACAAGCTGTTTGTAGAGATTCCCTGAATAACTACTTAAGCTTTTAAACTGTAAAAGTACTAAATAAAATAGAGGTTTGAGGGATGTTAGAGTATGGGATGGAGGAAAGGATAGGACAATAGTAAATTCAATTAAGAAAAAAAAACAACTACTCGCTGTGACTAGAATGATGTGATCTGTTTTCAAGAGTAAAGAGCTAAACTGCTAAGAATTGGGTTTTGTGATTATTTTCACTCCAGCCTTGTAAGCATGGGTTACTTACTTCTTTTTTTTTTTTTTAAATTTTATTTCAGGCTGCTGTGGCCAGCAGTGTTTGAGATGTGACTCAACAGTGTTCTCTGGTTAAAATTAATAGCATTTGCTGCTCACCTTAAAAGCTATAGCTCTACATGGGAATGGGAATGGAACACAAAACAGCAGAAGTGTGGGATTTTGTACAATTCTTAGCTCTACTTCGGGTCTGCCATCAATTGAGCTGATTAAATAGGAAATGCACTTTTAATTCTTACTACAAGATGTTCCACAGCTGGTTCTATTTTCCGTTGCAGCAGCTCTCATAGCATGCTGATGCCTATTGCACAAGACAGAAAAGTTCCTGGCATCACTTCTGTTACCATGAAAATTCTTTATGAAGCACATATCCTCTCTCTGTTCTTCTTCATCCCCAGGTTGCTTGAGATGCCATAGACCACTCATGGTCTATTATAAAACATTTCCCAGTACGATAAGTCAGAAGACTGATGGTAGCAGGAAATCTGCCATTTAAACACGACGTTTGTGCAGAGGGAGAATTTGATTGATGGAACATCAAGAAATGTTAGACACAATGCCCTGTTAAGTTAGACAACATACAAGCTTTGCTCAAGAATGTATGTACTGGAAAAGCAGCTGGCCCCATGGGGACAGGCATTGCTTCCAGTAGGTCTTTAATATGTGGAATAGTTGCTAATGGAGCTAAATCACTTCTCTTTAGCTTAGACTGGAAGATCATGAAGATGACAATTTACTCACCCAGACACATTATCCCAGGGCACAAGAGGTTACACAGCCTCACTAAGTACTGCCAGTGTTGGCAGTCTACCTCCCCCTCCACTGCTCCTGATCTCCAGGGGCCATTTTTGCCTATGGAGCCTCCTCACTCTGGCTTCCTTGTGGCTGGTGGACATTTGCCTCATGCTGGGTAAGGTGTGGTCATCTCGGTCAAGCATCAAGCTGTCTTCCAAATCCTTTGTCCCTGCTTGTTCTGCATTGCCAGCTTCCACAGGGCTTGTTTGCCTGTGTTGGATTCCTCAAGTGTAGGAGGATGTTGGATGAGATTAAAGTCAGATGTAGCAGACTTAGAGACACACTGTTTAGAAGAGAGATTTTCTGATACTGCAGGGACAAATAGACTTTAGGTGATGACTCACAGTCACCATGTTGAGCTTCCCCAGCTGAGTAGGTTTCACTGGTGTTTTCCAGAACACTGGCATTTCTCTGTACAGCCAGGCTAGCAGACTCTCCTCTCTGAGCATGTGGCTGTAGACAGTGTCAGAGTGTCCACCCACATCGTGGCCACACAGTTGGTATAGGCCTTATAATTGATCTCCAGTCAAAATCCAGATAGGGACTCCAGCTGGGCCTAGCACTCCTGCAGAACAGAGCTTATGGGACTACCGAAGGACAGGCTGGATAACAGCATGCCACATATTACGCTGCATCCCATGACGTTTTCTCCAAGTTGTGCAAGGCCTGAGGGAGTCTGTTGGTGCAGTAGGTGCAGTGGGGTGGGGCCTTCCTTGTCACTGTTACATAGCTCATTAGTCCTTCAAGCAGTGGATGCCTCTTATAAACTGGAAGAAAAAGACAAGGAAAGCATCTGCATAAGGACTGGTACCATATCTGGAAAATACTGGTGTAACAGAGGTCCTGTCTGGTTATGGTCAGCACTTCACTCCTACTTTCCTCAAGGCTTTCTTCCTTCTTCCCCTTCAGTGACTCAAACTTCACCTTCTCTGGGAGCCATGTATGTCCTTCTTCCTTTCCCTCTTTCCTCAGACTTCTTCTCTTAATATTTCTCCCCTGAGCACCTGCCAGACAGACCCAGGTGACTATGATCTTCCCAAGTTCTGCGCGGGATGACTGAAGCATGTGATTTCTCTAATTCCATAAGCAGAATTTCCTTTTTGTGAATATGCTGTCTATCTCCCTGCAGTCCCATTTCAAAGAAACCTCCCTCCCAAAGAGGCTCTTCTGATGCTGTATTAATCACACATTGTGCCTCAACAGCATCCAACCAGCTCCTGCAGTTTTTGATCCCTCTTATCTTGTTCCCATTTCCCATCTTCCTGCTTCAGGAGGTCGTGGTGAAAAAGATGAAACCAGTCAAGGTGCCCCTGCGTAAAACTGGCTTGTTATGACGTTTTGAAACTGCTCTGACAACAGACGGTATGACCAGGGGAGTGCAGAGAGGCAGGGTTGTGCACACTCAGCTGTGAATATCTGGCAAGGACAAAATCCTTCAGGAGGAGTAGGTGCACTGCCAAACATGTAGGGACTCTAGGCAGCTGTCAGAAGCTCAGGCTTGTTTCTTTGCAAGTACTGCTGTTGTACAGACAGTTTACCACTCTGCATTTGCCTTTCTGTGTGGGATAGAGAGGTAATTCTACAAAATTCCCCTAGCTCAAGGCAACATCCACATTGATGCTTGTGCCTTGCCTGCCACTGTATCAGTCACCTTGAGCACAGACTCTGAGCCTCCTCTCTTCCCCCTCCCACCTACAGGGATATCCTCCTCCAGGCAATTCAGCTGCAAGCTGTCCCTAGGAAATTCTCCTGTTGACAAAATCATGTACAGCCCTCGCAGATGTTGGCCAAAATCCCGAGCTCCTCCTGTTGTCATGTGCTGCATGCTAAAGGAGGCTATTTCATGGCCTGTGAGACACGGGTATTTGCATAGTGAATTCTAGACAAAGTTGTGCACACTGTGGACTATAAGGGACTCTGACACAAAGCAGAAGGCACATCGATCTCACTGCACAGACCAGCCACCAGTATCTCCCTTATGAGCTTGTGATTCACTTTTTAATAAAAGATACCACATCCCAGAAGAAAAGGATGCGACTAAAGCACAAGCAGCAGAAAATAATGAAAAACAAAAGCAGCACCACCTGACTGGAAGACAGCTAAGGCTATGACAGAAACACAGGTCTTATTTTGAATCCAAACTGAGGGTAAGAGTGGCTCTGGATATTGTGGGCCACTTCTCCCACGACTAGTCTGCGACTCTCCCATTATGTGCTGCTTCTCTTAGCTGGTGTGAGCCCATGTATTGCCAGGTACAGGTACAAATCCTGAAAGTTTCAGAAGACGTAGTCCTTTGCACACTGACAACTTACTAACTGGGACATCATCCCAACCCTCAGTAAACTCTCTGGTGACAGTAATCACTACAGACTGATGTTCTGTAACTTGCTGAGAAAGGAATGCATGTCAGCTCTACTTCATCTCTTTTCTATGCAGACTTTTTTCTCCCTTTAACCTGAGGGAGATGGTATTTTTACTTATTTATACATGCTATTACATATTTGTATAACCCTAGCATCCCATACTGTGGCATACAGAGTAGAAATACAGAACAGCTTGACTGGGGATAGGGCACTAATGAAAGTGTAAAGATGTGTAGAAAACATATCTGCTGCAAAGGTAATCAGACGAAGTTTTGTCTATGTAATTCACAACATCTAAGGCAGACTGTGCCCATTGTAACCCAGAAATCCAGTCACAGCAGAGGACAATGAGATGCTAAAGCCTCAGGGACTTCAATACTTGTTTGCTAGATCAGTTTACTGAGTTCTCCCTCCAGGAGATTTGATAGAGAACTGAACCAATGATATTTCTACTGCCTGCTTGTATATTTTGGCTGCTGCTACCCTTCCACGAGACTGCAGTCTGATGACCTTATTTGTTTGTGACATTTCAGGATTGTTTGCAGATTTTCAAACCTGGGAAAAAGGAAAACTAAAAATGAAGCCAAGGAGCTGAGCAGAAGTGTCACAGAGATGTGACAGAGGCACTGTGCAGACATGGAAGGGACTAGGAGGTCCTCCCTTCTTCAGAGGCAAACATATGTAGTGTAATTTCTTTCAACTAATAG